TATATATATATATATCACAGCAGACCCGGTTGAACTCCACTGGTCACTGCTTCTCACTAGAACTCCAGGAGATACCTCTTGGAGAAAATCACTAGTGAGCATAAGTTGATTAATATCAGAAGGGGTTTTGTGGATATTATAATAATTTTAATAGTTGAAACCATGAATAAATTGAAGCTAGACCACCATAAAAAATCTGGAAGCAGTGGATGGTCGTTTCGTCCTACTATGGGACTCCTCAGCAGTGCGCATCTACGATCCCGCCTCGCGAGATTCGAACCCAGGGCCTATCACTTTAGCAAGCGAACGATTAACCTATAGATAACTGAAATGACCGGCATTCAACGGTGTTTATGTTTAACTTCAACTAATCCACCATTGTCATCAGTGAGTTATTATCTCACAACAGACTTGGTTGAGCTTCACTGGTCACTGCTTCTCACTAGAACTCCAGGTCCTGGGTTCGAATCTTGCGGAACGGGATCGTGAATGCTCACTTCTGAGGAGTTCCATACTACGACGAAACGATCGTCTTGTGCCTCCAAGTTTTCTATGATGGTCTTACTTACTTACTTACCTACTTACACTAAATAAATGGTTGCTATGGTCGTCAGAAGGAGTATCGGCCTCGTGACTTCCGAAGGAACTCTGCTTTCATCATGAGGCGTCATAACTCTTCTAAATGAAGACTTTCTGGCTCCCAGCGCGGGGTTTGAATAATTTTCTCTGGTTAGCGTTTTTCTAGCGAATTCGTTTTCTACGGGATGGGGTCGCTAACCCCATGCCCAACCCTCCTCCTTTTTCCCGGGTTTGAGACCAGCAGTAGCTCCCGGAAGGACCCACAAAACCCATTCTAGATATATATATGTCAAGTATTTAATTAGACTATACTAAGACAATTAACCCAAATTTATTTTCATTCATCCTTCTATTATCATATAGAAATATGAACCTGTAACTTATTGTTCCTTTCTATCTTTACTTACTATTGAATGTTTCCCTATTTAATAATAAGAATAATTGACATATTAATTTAAAAAAAATAATTATAATTAAGTTATTGAATAAAAAGTAATTCACTTTTCAATATTTAACCTAAATGTTTTATTTAATTATTATCAAGTTTATTTATTGTATTTAAGGGAGTTGTTCAAAAGTTTGATATCAGGCAAAAATAAAAAGGAAGAATAAAATCGATTTTATTGATATGACCTATTCATCGAATGATGATTGATGTCATGTTTGTTTACTGAATTCGAATTCTGTCAAACAAGTTATTACTATCAATATTAATAGTAGTAGTAGTAGTAGTAGTAGTAGTAGTAGTAGTAGTAGTAGTAGTAGTAGTAGTAGTAGTAGTAGTAGTTGTTGTTGTTGTTGTTGTTGTTGTTGTTGTTGTTGTTATCGTAGTAGTAGTGTGGTGTATGCCACTAATATTGACATAAGTAGTATATGATGTTAGTCGTGAACAGAATGTCTGGCAGCAGAGAGACAAGAGGATCTAACAGTAAAGAATGGAAACAGAATGCAATTTGTATGAAAATACAAGAACAATGAAGTCTCAGTCATTATGAGACAATTGATGGTCATTTTGCAAATAACGTATTTACTATTTGATGATTAGATTGTATTAACAAGTCCTGTAATTTTGTGTTAAATATATTCGATTGTCCCCACTCATGTTCTGTTCACTACACTAGTAGTAGTGGTAGTAGCAGTAATAGTAGTAGTAATGGCTTTACTCAATATTATAAAGCGATCATTAATCTAAACGACTTGATATTGTGTAAATTATGTTTCCTTCAATGGTTGAGATCATGAGTTAATTGAAGCTAGACCACCATGAGAAATCTGCAAGTAGTGGATGGCCGTGGTCTAGCAGTTAAGCATACGCGCTCTAGACTGATAAGTCCTGGGTTCGAATCTTGCGAGGCGAGGTCGTAAATGCGCACTGTTGAGGAGTCCAATGATAGGACGAAACGGTCGTTCAGTGATTCTAGGTTTTCCATGGTGGTCTAGCTTCAAATGACTCATGATCTCAATCATCGAAATTACTATAATCTCCACAAAACCCTTCTGATATAAATTATGTTTGTTTCACTTTAAATAGTTGAATATATTCTATAAAGAGCTTATAATGATTATAACCATAGTTCTCTTTCACACTGTAAACAAACAAACAGATATTTATTATTGATCACAGGGTAATTTAAAAAGATACTTTTTATAGAAATATTTATTATTGATCACAAGTTTTGGGTACCCATGGCAATATTCTAACCCTCATACAAATCGAATGCTTTATGGGCAGTATATCTGTTTACTATCTCCTAACATGATGAGTTATTTATTTATCAAAATTACTATTCAAACTATTATTTATCATTTTGTGATGTTTTTATATACTGATAATGACTTGATACATTATTATGCATCTCGTTCAAATTATATTGTATTGTAGTGTATACTACTGATGTTGACAGAAATAAGTAGTAGTATGTATCATTATTCAAAAGTGAAATGTCTGAAGGTAGATGGTTAAAAAGATCAAATAAAAGAGAACGAGAACAAAGAATGATAAGTGTGGAAATGAAGGAACATTGAAGTTTAAGATGATTGATTAACATTTTTTAAATGAAGTATTTACTGTTTGATTCTGTAATCGATATGTTTAAAGACATTCAGTTGTCCCTATTTATGTTCTCATTTACTACACTATATTATCTATAACTGTTTGTTCTTACAGAATTAATAGACAAGCTTATTTTAAGTACCTTATCAAGATAGTTCACACACAGAGAGAGTGTGGAGATAGGTCTGACCACAAGAAGGAGAGAGAGAGACACCAAAAAAAGATCCTTTAAAGATCCCAATAAGTTCCTTCAGTTATAAATAAACCCTGTAAGAAAGGCGACGTATTCAAAGATTAAATGAACTGGTGTTTTTATGCATTTTTTTCAAGTATTATAGAAATATATCATCAATATAGGTTCTAAAGACATATGAAGACTTCAGAGATTCTATACCAGATAAGAGGTATGTTACAGACTAGTGTTAAAGTTTATCTATTTTCTATACGATACATTGTAAGGTCAGTTTTAAGTTTCTCATTCTTGTGTATTATATTCATTCAGCATCATTTCAACAGCTCCTTTCGCATCATAACAATCAACATGTTAAAAAACCTTTATGAATTAAGTTATAGTTATAGAAGAGTAGTTATTTAAAGATGAGGATTGGAATCATAACCATTAGATTATTCTTTAAATCAACTAACTAATATTGAATGAAATCATAAATGAAATCAAACGATGAGGATGTCATAAAACTACACAGACCCTAAAAAGTGTCAATGTTCTGTTTAGTTCATTATGGTTGATTCTTTTCGCTCAAAACCCATATCACCATATTTGGAAAGCAAATATTTCATTTCATTTCAACTGTACATACATCTACTGACTTCTGTGGTCATCAAGTTTAACTTCGGGGATTAGCGTAAGTTTAATCTACGAATGTATGGTCTATGCATTGCATATCTAATACTAAGATACCCAAACTTATTTCTTAAAATATAGTATGTTAAGTCAGACCAACCAAATAACTTCATACTTGTATATTTCCGTTTATGTTCTTGTTCATAATAATATTTATAATTCTTCATTTGATGAAATGTTTTACACAAGACATGAAATAATACATAGTTGAGGTTTTCAAACTCACTTCTACAAGTCTCTGTATTTGATAAGTGACTGCTGAATCAGAAAAATGATTATATGCTTTCCTTATTAAGTGAATATTTTATTAATTTTGATGTTATCAACACTGAATTTTTAGTTAAAGTTCATGATGTACAAACAGCCAGTGTTTACATCGTAGTCAATGATGGGAAAGGGGTAAACTGTCTTCTAACAAAGTGACTGACTAAATGGTAGTAAGTTAATGTTATACTGAGAATATTCTGACACACATATATAACAAGTTACAGATCATCTCTTTTTCCTGACTCACAAGGGCTACGATTTTGAACAGTTGTTACATTCAACCAAAATAAAGTTTGAAAGAAAAGAGGAAAAATATCAAATTCGTAATGCAACCGATGGTTACTCTACGAAATAAGTAGTTCATATTTTAGTAAATGGTGCTAGTCACATTTCATTCATATAGAAAAGTTTCGTAACAGTCAAAAGATCACGAGGAAGATATAACATATAAGAAAGAGAAATGGAAGACGTTCAACTTGGAGTCCATAAAAGAGATAAAAATTCGAAAAAATACTTTATCACATAGTTAAAAATACGGGACATTAGGAATTTTTAACTTGAGTTTCCATCCTTATTTTATCTATTAAATAAGTATCACAAACTTCGAGTTTCGACAACATTTCTGATTCATGCAGTAATATTATAAGTAAATCAAATACATAAATAAGGATCTTTAGTCTCACCTTGCTCATAAACGAGAACGTACCTATATTCATCATAAGCTGTACGTTTGGCTCAAGCTTAGAGGCGCAAAGTATGTGTCAGAAAAGCAGATATATGCATTAGGAATGATACACTATAGACTCATATACATTATTATAATCGCTGCTACTACAAGTGATAATATATTATTACCGACAGCACAAATTTGGCCATCTTATAGACTCATTATAGTACAAAGTTCAGTAAAAACGATGCATTGTCGCTCTCTGAGTGTAAGAGAAGTGAATGTCTTTAATAAAGCTTGCTCAAAATACATAAGGTTTGTAATTTCACAACTGGGATCGCGTAACACTCCATAATAACCAAATTCACACACTTGTAAATATCACAAATCTTACTCCCATGTGGTTTAATATGTCACCTCATGAATTTATTATTATCATATTTCTCAGGAGTATCATGTACTACGGCAACCAGGACATAAAAATAACTTTCTGTGATAAATCTCAATGAACTTACCGACATCGAAAACCTTAAAGTCTAGATCCTTGAACCGAAAGTTCGTTTCGACTATACCTGTTGTCTTCACCCTAGATCTCAATACATCTTGTTCAGTTGGCAAGTAATCAGGAGCAGATATTCTATCAATAGAACTGAGGTAGTAGCCTGCGGAATCATTCAGTTGGTATTCCTTGGAACGTGCGAAACATTTCTGCACGCTTGTGTTGTTCCATAGTTTTAGTAAAAGTTTTGATAAATCCTCAGGAAAATCACCTTCTTCAACTGTAGGTAAATATCCGTTTAGGTGCTTTAATTCATCTGCTTGGTCGAAACCATCCGCCGTTATATCCAGTGTCTCCATTGCTTTTAGAATTTTTATCATCGACTGAAGGGTGTTGGCGAAAATGATGGGTTTGTACTCTTTTCTCTCTTCTTCCCTGTAACCTTCACCATGGATTATTTTCATCTGTTTTAAAACTGTCGACTTCCCACACTCACCAGCACCAAGAAGAAGTAACTTGACCTCTTTCATTGATTTTTCTGCATCGTGTCTTATTTGCTTCTCTATAGCCCTACTCTTATCCTGCTGAACTTTAGCTGGTTCACTCCATGCACATCCCATATCAGATATTTGAGCAAATAACCAAACGAAAACCAGTTTAGATATATAGAGTCCGCTAGCATGAAATTGGGAAGAAAGTAAACGAATATACGGTATACCGTATATATAGACTATCCAATATGAGCTAGCCAATTACTGAGGATGATGATCACTACGAAGTTAGTACAGATACTCTAAGTTTCAAACATTAATATATGCTGAAATATTTTTATTCATTACTTTATTTGAAACCTTAAAAACACCTAGTTAAAAATCACGTATTTTGAAATTCAACGAGCCTGTAAAGAGAAAGTGTTTAAATGGGTGAGCCTGAACGCCACAAACTTTAAATTTACCTGGGCATGGCTGAGCAGGTTAGTTGCAGGTCATGTAAATTGTTTATTTCCAGAGAGAAAACGCATTTCAAAAGCAAGAAGTGAAAGGAAAGAACGGCGGAAGGTATTACAAGAGCATAGGTCTTGGCTATAAAACTCCAAAAGAGGCTATATTCGGTAATTACATTGACAAGAAGTGTCCCTTCACTGGAAATGTACGTATCCGTGGTCGAATCCTCACGGGTGTTGTGCGTAAAACTAAGATGAACCGGACTATTGTTATTCGTCGTGACTACCTCAAGTACGTGAAAAAGTACAACCGATATGAGAAGCGACATAAGAATATGTCTGTACATATATCTCCTTGCTTCAGGTGAGTTCACCTTGTGTTTGTTTACACTTGCAGAGATGTGGATATTGGAGATGTCGTAACTGTTGGTGAGTGTAGACCCCTGAGTAAAACAGTATCATTCAATGTCATCAAAGTTTCAAAAGCCGCTGGTTCAAAGTACAAAAAGGCATTCCAAAAGTTTTAATGTCTGAAATAAACGTATAGGTTTACCGCAGATCTTGGTTCTCCTTTCGTTTCTAGTGGAACTGACTAACTTGTTTTGAGATGGAGCCTTTCAGTTTCGTTTACTATATATAAGCGTCATAAGTTTCGAGAGAATTGACCTTCCTGTAAACCAACTAAAAAGCCTACTGTCCTGAGCATTTCGTAACTGTAACAATAGTAGCTTAATATGTTTCTGCAATAATCTACTTGAACGTGGCTCCATTTATATATCCCCTAAAACTTTTACCTATTTTTAGCATCAGTCTTGTATTCGTATTCACATGTAGTTACCGATATAAACACCAGCTACTTTTTCAATGGATTATTAAATCTGCTTGCCCGGCTACATATTGGGTATGTGTGAAGTCAATTGCCGTGTGACGCAATACTTCAATATATCATGTAGTGTGAATAGTTGGTCTATACCTGATACGAGCTTTTTTGGCTGTGGCGTAATGCACTTTCAGTAAAAATTAAGCATTGGTACTTATATCCATAGGTTTCTAATACCAATGACGTGGCCGACTTCAATTTGATAAAAAGAAATAGGCGGCCCAGTTGCGTTTCTTGTCTCATTTTATCCAATCTGTCTTGATATAAAAGACAGTAGTTAATTGTAACAGTCAAAGTTGCTACAGACTGCCAAGCAGGATCAGCCAAATTAGTTCACTCTCAAAAAATGATATAACCATTCCTACCCCTACAGGCTGAAAACTAATCATAACGGTTTGAGATTATAAACATTTTTCTAAAAGGGTTATAAAACAACCAAAGTAAGGGGTTATTGTCATATGTTGATGTGATATTTTGGCCTAAACACGTTTGGCTCCAGAACACTACACTCCAGGTATCAGCTACACAACTTTTACCATAGGACTTTCCTCCTTGCGTTAGCATTGCAGACTGTCGCCATGACACAGAGGTTACTCCTATGGTCGGACACTTATATCTCGAACAGCCGCTTACTGTGCTGCTTGACTAACTATTAACTAATGTAGTACATGGTTGGTCTACTAGTCTTGAGATTTGTTAAAGACATCCATAGTAGTTGGTACTATGTATTTAGACCCAAAACTTCATTTTTCCTATACTGGGTGTCTGTCTTACAGTCGGGCTGCACGGGGCATATTCAAAGTCTTCCCTTGGTACGACGATGTAAAGCCCTGAAGATAGTGTTATTACCTGAAAAGATAGTGGGTTGTTTCCGTCAGCATAGAATGAAATTCAACATCAAGTTCTAAGCTAAGTCAGCGACACGTCTTTGCGATCTGCCACTGATAAACTCGTCTATGAATCCACATCTCATTAAAATGAAGTCTCTATGCAATAGAACTGGAAATTCTGACAATATAACAATTAACCTCTGAATTTTATATGAGTGTCTAGTCATAAACTTTCATGAAAATGTCTTGTTAAAACAATTTGTGAATTCTTTCACTAATGTTGAGGAACCTGCATGCTTAATTTCTGGTTAGACTCGCTGCAATTGAATTAACCACTATAAATGTGCAAGTTAGATATTTGTAGTCCGAATAGAGTTCAGTATTGTCCGATGTATCGTAGGGATGTTCGATTACATCCTATTCACGGGGTCCAGGTTCATTAAGACCTGTTATTGGGAGGTAAAAATAAGTTAGAAGAAGAATTTAAAGAGACTGATTAGTAAGTGTGGATATATATTCATATCAGTATAGTAGTTTATCATGCATGTAGCACGATACTGTAGATTAAAAGTATCTTCCCAGCGTCTAAAGTTTTGTTAGAATACATTTGCCTTATTATTGACTTGTTTTCCTGGACTGCCGTTATTGAAACATGTCCATAACCCCATTTTTAGTACGAAGCCTGTCTACTTCCTGAGACTCATCAGTTTGGGCGGATGTTTTTGAAAAACAACAACTGAACCTATTTAAATAGGCGCTCTACCCAATACAATGTTTTTTTGTGAATAGCTTATGCGTTCTGTAAATTGTTTTTTAGAAACATCGAAATGTGACAACTTTCCTTGTGAAGGAATAGATGGAATTACAAGCACAATTCTCTGATATTTCCTTGCTCGTGTTTTTTTCAATAAACAGAGAATTTCAATACAACGTATATAAATAAAATGAACGTCTAGACAAGTACATTATTGTTCAGGGGGATATTCTACGTAATTAATTGTTTCCTGAATTCAGCTTGAGCAGTTTCACCAGTCTATCGAGATTTGAACGCAATAATATTGGTACAAAGCGGCATCGAATACATATGCACCGCAGAAGTCTCTTGATTTGTGTGAGGATTGGGATATTGCCCGGGGGCCACACCCGAAGCCTGACCCATAAGGTAGTGGAGCAACATCAGGAGATGCGGTCACATGGTAGCTGATGACCAACAATGAGTTCATGTGGCATTTGATCCATCAGAATCCTGGAGCCCATATGGACCATTGGTTTGGAATCATGGTTCTTCAACTCTTCTAGGCGTACCCTTCGTGTCCACCAACCCGGTTAATGCGCCAAACATTCACTTTTCGTTTTGTCAACTTCGTAAACAAAAGTAATACCGCGAGACTGCAGTGAGCAGGACTCCCCTGTCAGTGGCTGTATACGCATGGCCATGTAAAAGCATTTCGGAAGGGAGAGCTGACTCTCCCCATCCTCGGCCGCATCAGATATATCGAAAAGCTTCAGTATTCAGCTGCAACAAATCTTTAGCGTTCTCACCTTGTTCCTTAATTCTGAAACCTCGATTGAATATTGTTCAGGCTACCTGAAAATTAACAATCAGTCGTTCTGATTTTGTGATCTCTTTAGTTATTATTGACCTGAAAATGTTCAAAACCTATGAAACCAATCGACACGAGACTCCTTATTTAAGTTGAACTGCGAAACTTTTGACCTTACAGCTTAGAAACGATGATGGTACTAATTCCAATAGGATGACAGTCTCGTCGAACTTCACTAACTGTTTCACTGCGATAATACGGCCGAAGTCCAAAATGAAGACACCCCTGTAATTTAAATCCAGTTCAAGAAAGTATGATCAGAATTTTAGGTAATACCCAGGGATAAATATTGTACGATAACTAGTCTCAAAATAAAATAAAAACTTCGGTAGCGAATTAAGTACTGTAGGTTTGTTGATTTAGTTGTCGTTCAACATATCCTATCGCCGTTAATGCTTCATTACAACATACTGTTCCTACAAATAGACCGAAAGTGCCAGAACAAATACTAAGTCAGTAATAAGAATTTCACTCTCCTAGGGTACATAAATATATAGATGTAGGAGCTATGCTGAGTCACAGTAGGTAAATGTAATTATAATCAGAATAATTTAGAAAACGCTTCAAATTAATCGGACTATAACCAAAATTAAGCTACATCATATGCATTAATCACACGATATAAACACGTGTACAATCTTCGAATGATTTTCATAGATTAATGGTCTCTAAAGTAATTTGCTTTAAAATATATTGAATATTAAATACACCTAGAATGAGAAAAATGTTCGAATAATAAGCTTTTGGTATTGAAATGTATAAACTACATTAAAATACTTTGCATCAATTGCAATAATATATGGGTTTTAACCGTGTAATAACATTGACAATAATCAGCTTACTTTGAAGTAGATCTCTGCTAGTCATACATCCCTGAATTCCTAGTCTTACGTTACTTTAGGACATATAGCTGTTACAATTCATGTGTTGTTTGGTGATTGGGTAAGGTAACCACTATAAAACCTAGGTTTGGTCACTGGCGGTTCAGCGGTATTATGATAGATATGGCTGATCATGAAACCAGGTTTTCCACCTACCGAGAAACTACCAGCTGTATTAAATTATTTCAGTGGATTGAGTGACCCCATACTATAAACGTTCAACAACAATCTAAATTATGTTGATCGATTCAGGACTGAAAAATATTGACTAAACAAAACTGAGAGTTTACCTACTTTATTCACTGTGTATGATAAAAAAACTAACACTAGAGTAGGTACTAATCTTTACTCTTAATATCGAAGAAATATGGAAAAAGACACACTAATAATAATTTATTTTGACCAAAATAATAACTCATAAGGAGATAGTGAACTATACAAATGGACATTTTTAAAATGTATGAATCTTAAAAGTTCCCATATTGTGAATTAGAACAACAACAACAAGCGAACAACATTGTTTCCAATTAGATCCTCATTAAGCTTGATATTAGCCAACTGCCCAAATCGAATTCTTAATCCATTGGTTGAAGATACATGGTACACACAAGTGGGTAACCATGGATTCATGTATTCTGTTAGATCTTCGTCAGGCTTTACTCTAATAAACAGTAGTATTTATATGCATATACAAAATTATTAAACCAATCAATACAGTTTATGAGCCAGTTATAGATCATATAAGTAAAGAGTACAAATTCATAGTGATATGACAGGTGTACTAGGGCTTGAATCCGTTTCATAATGGGAAATAGGTCAATGACTTTAGAAATATAGACACTGAAATAGCATTCATAAAAACTATAGGATTATGTAATAAGTGTTCAGATAATTGAACAATGAAGTGTACATTTGGAGAAAATGATTTGGATGGAATGAAGAGAAATAAACGAACAAAAAATGCGAAAAATAATTAGTAAGATCGTTTATTAAGGCTATCTCGATCAAGGAAGAGACAAAGGCGTTACAAATTCCTCATTATGTCCCGATAAGCATAATGAATGGTAACTTTCTGGGATCCATTTGTGGACCAATACTATGTGTATATTTTTATAATTGTTGAATAACTAAACTGTTCATATTCATGTCCCTCTTATTGTAAGCTTTATTTTGGCCTATGAACTATTATTATACGACTTAGCATTCTTGAATTATGCCGTCTATTACTTACTACCTCCCTCATTCACATCCACGTTTGGCTAATTCTTGTACAAATGTTGTTTCATACCTTATTGGTACGATGTGGTCTGCTTGATTGGTATATAAACGCAGTATGCTTGAAATAAATGATTCATGTCGCAGAGGCAGAGATTAGTGTCCTGGACTTAACTGATTGGGCTAGGCAGGAAGCAGGACCGATAAGTACTCTAGGCTGCTCGTATGGGTTTTACGCGTCATTGGTCCGATTGATAATTCACTGCTCTCTAATTGGCGGCATCGTTGTTATGTATTAGCACGGTGCACAGGTCACAAGTTATAACACTTATGAATACAAATACTATGAATTTGTACTCTTTACTTATGTGATCTATTCCACTGTTATCACTGACTCATTAACTGTCTTGATTAATTTAATAATTTTGTATATGCATATAAATATTACTGTATATTAGAGTAAAGCCTGACGAAGATCTAACAGAATACATGAATACCCACTTGTGTGTACCATGTATCTTCAACCAATGGATTAAGAATCCGATTTGGGCAGCCGGGTAGTATTACTAGTTATCACTACAAAATATGACTCAGGAGTACATGAACATATACTGGGAAAATGAACCAAATATCTATACTAATGTTTACAAGTACATCAAGCTGTTCATTTTTCCTAATACTTCGCCTTAGTTGATTAATTCAAGAGGAACAGAATTCAAAATAAAACTTTTTGACATATATACAATAATGGGGAATAATTTGTTGTTTTTTTCAAATTTTATTTTACAAATTAAAATGTTGAAAGACTAAAGATTTTGCAAGTTTGCTTCATGAAAGACTGTGGTTTGAAAAACAATGAACAAAGTTTGGTCACGATCTGTTTTTTCACGTTATTCGTCACAATCACTAAGTTCTGAAGTTCCCATAATCCCTTTCGCTAGACGCCAAACTTTCGAAAGTGGACCAGGATATTGCGTTGAATCCATAAATCCCGTATTGGTCACTGTAGTTTCACATGATTCTGGTTCTCCTGGTGAGGTCACAGAAACTAGTTCCCAACATTCTAAACCAACAGACGAGTCGTGTTCTTCGAGTTTATTGGATGACTGAACATAGTCGGAACTACTTGCCCTACATAAAGTAAACCTATTCACTTGTTTGTCACATAAAGTTAAACTATCATCGTTTGATAAGCCAAACATCTCATCCACTTCTTCGCCTTTCTCTACAAAACACGGTGAACTAAATGAAACTGTAGGATGACTCATTAAGGATAATGATGGAATCTTTCCAAAAAGCCCATCTAGTTTTATATTGTAACATTCGTCAAAGTACCTAAGAATCAAAGAAAATCAATTAATAGACAAACCAAGAGGTATTTGAACAATCTGAAAAGTAACAAAATCGAAACATTACGTATTAAATGTATCCTGAAATGTTTTAGTAACATGAAAGTTTACTAACATTATTCAACTACTTAGTTTCAAGATATTTACGGTGCAAGCAATATAAAACAAATAAATAAGACCATCCATCATACACTAATTACTTCACAGATTAAGACACTATGAGTAAGAACGCTGTCTATTAACATAAAAGGATAGGGGAAACACATCTGGGAAATAATTCCACCTACCACTTATATATAAACAAACTTCTTTTAATGTTTCAACTGTCACTTCTACAATGCATGGATTACGGTTAGACAGGGAGTTATCACTAAACAACTATTAAAAATAATGCACACATCCTACCAGATCGTTGGTTAACTGCGACATAGTGATTGGACAATAAAAGTTATACGAGGATATTTAGTATGTGGCACCGTTGTGAACAAACACTCAGGTAGGGACAACCAATTTATCATTTCATATGTCTATCGACATAAGTAGCATACACCAAAACACCAACTAAATAATCAGTGTATATCACTCATAGCTGTACGACATATCGTAAAATTTAGGTTTAAATACTAGGGATTGAAACCGATAACTGAAGGGACAACGGTGCATCAATAATATCTTAATAGTGTAATACTATTTCACCCTACACTACCTAGGTTGAAGTGCTCTCTCTAGTTTCACTACCGAAAACACTATTTATCAAATAATTTTGGAGAGGTTTTGTTGAATCTAACTACGTTATTAAGTATGTATTATGCAAGATTAATAGACACAAACCTAAGGGGTCTCCAAAAAATGTTGACGGTGTCCAATAATGTTTATTAAATACTAATTAATGTACGAGTTCACAATCTCGTTTGTCAGATTTGTAACTAATATAGCCGACGATATGCACAGTAACAATGATCTGTAAACCTACTAATTTAACGATAAAATTAGTTGAATAATGTTTATACATAGAGTTTAGGTACAAAAATATTACCTAGTAGACTTATTATTGTGACTGACCAGATGTCCAAGGCAATATAATCCAAATAATGGATTGTAAAATGTGTGCCGTCCAGGAATTACGTTTATCCCAAGTTGTTCTAATCCATTTTTTATATCAATCCCTCGACATTGGCATAACAGGTGAACAGCATGAATGACTGCGAAATACACACGACCCATATCATCCCTCTGAGGTAATGCAGACAAAAAAGAACCAACCAAATGCAAATTCCGACGAATGGAGACTGGCAACCAAACATCTAACAAGATAGTTGAAACCCTTATTGCTACTGAGCAATATGTTAAAGCCGTATGACTGGATGGGGTGGGTTCAGGACCTACAGGTAATAAAAAGTGAAGACAGTTTAAACTTTAAAGAGATGGCTGGAGGTTTATAGGAAACTTAGGAACACATGTTATCTGCATCAATCTATCACCGATCTACAAAAATATGAAGTCACAAAATAGCTAGAGTAGTCGAGTAAAGTGATATAAGAGTACAATTGTACACAATTAAAATAGTATACCAGTTGAACAGGTCACCTGTAGTTTAAAAGATTTTCATCACAAAATAGAAGTGGTATGAAGCGTGGAGATTCCACATTGAGAATAATAAGAGTGGTACAATATATGGTACAAAAAACATTACAAGAGTAAATATCATCTTGAATTATACATTTCAAATCTACAGTGAATGTACAACAGCTTTGTATGACAATGATCATGTCACTCGACAACAAAATTAAATCAATCGAAACTTCAGAGCGACACTAACCTGCAAAAATGTTCTCTTTATCGATATGTAGAGGTGAACAAACAAATCTATCCGGAGATAAACCATCAGTCTGAAAATGAAATGAACATAAATTTAGTACTGGCATGCAAGATGTAGCTAACATCTAAGTGAATGTTTTTAAGACTAATAAATTATCATAAGTCGAGTGATAACATACTGTCAAACTTTAATTTCATTCAGTAATATTATCTTATGACACTTCATATAATATTAAGTCGCCTTAACAACACAAAATCTGACAAATGATTAAATGTAAGGAGTGGTAAACTAGACGCCAACAAGATTCGGCCTGCACCAAGAAGAACCTAACAAGTGCCAAGTAGGACGAAACCTAGCTCCAGGGATTCCTGATGACTACCTCCAACCACCATCTTATCTCAACATGGTGCAAACGTTGTCAAGTCACTCAGATTCGTGGCCACATTGCAACTTGGGCAACAGGATTCAACCTGTACTAAGAATCTGACACACATGACATTGATTACCACCCAGTGGCCAATCAATTGTAAAAACTAGACATGCTCTGTGGAGTTCCTCCTTTTCTGTCAATATTTATTTATCCATAATATATTACTAGTCAACAGGAAAATGTCCATGAACTTAGTTTAGAGTGGAATTTTGCGAGGGCTAGTAACACTAACCGGATTTTCAAACCAAACGAGATTAAAATAGAATTTGAACCCGTAACTAAGTGAATGAGAACAGCAGTAAACTCGCTAAGCTAGTGAACCTATGTAGATCCCTATTCAAGAGTCAGATTGTAGTTCATGCAAATGTAATGACATTAGACATTGCCCGGTACAAACATATTGAACTATAGCGTGTTTCGCTATCTATGAAAACAACGTAACTAAACTCACCGACAGGTCGGTCACGAAATAAACTCCAAGTAACTCCTCAAAATAAGTATCATGTACGTGCTTGATCTGCCTGTTTACTATATCAAGATCAGCTACCAATAACTTTTTTCTCTGTGCAACTGTGATAAAATGCCGTACCAAATTAGCTTGCTGTTTCAGAAGATGCTGGGACGCGGTATGGCATCGTGTCATAGCTTGTCGAACACGTTGTAGCTTTTTGCGTTCTGAAATAACGCACAGTATAATAAGTACGACTTACTCTCTACGTTCATTTTAGTAAGAAACTCGATCGTATGTTCCAAAGAAGAAATCTGAGCATTCAACTCTTCAACTTTACCCTGCTTTAATACAAAAATATGCACAACGAAATCTTACAAAAGTGTGAAATACAGATTTGAACAGTATGGGTTCGTATACTTTAATCCTAATCCGCAAATAATTAAATCTATAAACCTACTTTCTATTTAAGTCATTAACCGATTTACGGACTGTCACAATCCGATCAGAATTTTGAGGAAAGCTGTAAAGAATCTATTTCAAAAAGTATTCTTACCTAAGTTTTCCGGATTTCTTCGAGAATATGGAATCCTTCCTAACACAATCACAGCAGACAAACGTTTCTTTAAATGATTCACATGTACGACACTGAAGATTTAAATGGAACTGAGGGCCACGGTCAAACGGAACATCGGCGCAGGGTGATTCTAATATCTGGAAATCAGCAAGAGTGACGTCGGCAACTGAGTCGTCAAGCATGTATTGTATTCGACCAGTTGTCGATTAAGAAGTAAATCGATAAAAAGTCAACCGATTGCTATGAATTTAAAAACATGTAACTCTCAGTCATCAAATAATTTGCTGACAACTCTTAAATGTGTTGTAATCGTGCAAATAAGAAAACATGAGTAAGCCTTGGTAACGGTGGTCCACTCGACTGACAATTGTTAAGATCTCTTTTCACAAAAGATCTGAGATAGAAAGAAGCTTAAAGGGAGAAGACGTCTGATGTTTTAGGAAGTGTTGTTAGTGCAACTTACTAGTGTAACTTCAATTAACAATGCACAACTCTCCGACCCTTGCAAACCACAAATCGAAACCCAGGATGAGTAAAGTATAGTTTCAAATGCGTTCCAAATATCTTTTGGAAGTTCGAAGACCAAACCTTCATATGGTTGTGGATGAAATACAAGAAGCTTTCGCTTAATGTGCTTCCGTGTCTAGTAGCAGTGGATCAACAGGCATGAACACAATTATATTGACGATAATAGATGAAAAAATAAATTGGTATATAGTAATAAGATGTTATTCGTAGCCCTGAAAAACAGGTCAAGTTCCCTCTTAAAGGAGATTATGTGGAGAGTTCTTCCGTCAAACCGGACAAAAATGCGCTTCAATGTTACCAGTGCAAGGTTTGCTGGAAAGACACTTTTGACAGCGTAGGCCTTCAAATCGTAGGATGCCAGGACTTGAGATACTTCTGGAGAGCATTTTCTTAAGTCGCAACTGTAGTCTGCAACATGTCTCAGATGGAATGCATTACACTTTGAAGTGTTAATGGTAAGTCCGTTATCGTCTGCCCAACTTTGGAGTCGAGTCAGATCCTCCTGAAGTGCCAGTATATCGTCTTGATTGCGTCTCTCTCATCAAATTTTCACATCATCAGCAAGAAGTAACAATTTTGACGATACCTGTTGAGGAAGTTGTTTGTATAAAACAAGAAGAGAAGAGGTCCTACTACTGAGCCCTTGGGGGACACCACTAGGACATTCCATAGCCCGAGAGAAAGTTAAGTTAACCCTGACCTTAAAATGTCGATTTCTCAGATATGAAATGAGCCTGTAGGGTCAGTGAAATGTCACTGAGCCCTAGCCAAATCATCCGGCAGTTGGATCACTGAATGTCGAACAGATCATCGCTCCTGCCAAGGTCATGTACAAGCAACGCGCATTAGTTAATCATACGCCATGGACTGGCCCATGCGGCAGTGGTCTTACTTTCGCTTGTATCTACCTTAACTAATATATTTCTGTGATAACGTCCTCTGTGTTGTACAGTCTTCAAAGCATCTATGGTACCGTGATACGTCAATGGGGTAGTCCACGTAAGGTGCTGACCACAAGGTGTGACTTCGACATTGGCTAGTTTGTCACACCATTCATGTCTAACTCGAGTAGGCCTCCAATCATTTCGACATAGATCATCTACGTTGGTGATTTACAAGCCAGTCAATTAGAGGTGGTATGATACCCAATCGTTTGAGCTTATTGTTAATACATATATGGCTGACCCTATCAAAAGCTTTTGGGACGTCGCTTCGGAAAGTCCCGTGCAGTTGCAAATGAAGCTTCCATCAATATAGTTGATGTGGGTCGGTTTGAATGTCCGAGAGTATTGTTCAGCCAAAAGGTTAGCGGCGTCACCGTCGTTATTGATCGGGGCGTTAGGACCTAGCAGTTAGGAAAATCTAGTTTTGACTGAATAACGGAATAAGCTTTTGGGATCGGAGACAAATTTATCGATAAGCTTTATATGGTACTGAAGCTTGTCTTCTCTTATAGCCTTCGTGCCTATGTTCCTTATATGTTTGCATTGCCTGTACGCGCCGTTGTTATCAGTTCGTTTGTATTCTGCTCAACAGTGACTTTTGTGGCTTAGCAAACGAAGAATGTGGTTCTTGATGACTGTAGGTTGCTTGTAGATTTTGGAGACCATTTGAGTAACAGACTGTTTTGAACCACATAAAAGTGTTTGCGGTAAAAAAATCCCAATGAACATCCACATCATGTTGAGTGTGAACATCCCAATCCACCTGTTGTACATAGTTCTGTAAAGCTGACACATTCAACCGTTCGAATTTCCAGCGCCTGTTGTTGGTGGGATATCTTAGCTCAGTATTGCTCACAAAACTGAAGGCTATGACGGCATGATCACTTTTCAGGGGGCCAGGATTGAGAGGTTATCAACTAGGAATTCTTCGTCTGTGAATACCCAGTCTAAGCGCGACGGCGCCTGACTGTTTCTACAACGAGTTGACGACTTCACATTTTCGAATAACCACAGATCCTCAATGATGTTGAAGAACCGAGCTTCAGTTGAGTCTTCACCTCCAGTATACGTATGTAGGCGGAACTGACTTTCGGAAGATTGAAACTACTAGAATCCGAGTATTCCGGTACTACTACATGATTGTCCTCGTGAGGACCATATTATTTAAAGCCAGTGACTCTTACCTGCTGGATAAAGTAAGCACATATGCTGCTTTTATTGTGTATCAGAACGAAAAGACTTGAAGGCGAGACTCTAATTTAAGGACGACCTTTGAACGAATCTTAAGTGACCTTGACAATTATTAGCCAATCCGAAGAAAGTTAGTGTGAAGTGAAAATATATTATATGAAAGTAATGAATTACAGTGGATATTCTCCTTTTACATGATTTAAAAACTTGTTAAGGTTTGATGAAGGTTCAGAGGCTCTGAATTAATAGTGAATATGGTATAGAAATTCCTCCATATAGTTAGTGTTGTAGCCTGTCAATAGACACCTCTTCTCTAACATCCGATGTAAGCCGATCGCATGTCAGCACCCTAATCCTAACCTAACCTTAACCTAACCCTAAACCCTGATCTAACCCTAACTTTAACCTAACCCTAATCTAACCCTAACCCTAACCTTAACCTAACCCTAATTTAACCCCAAACCATAACCTTAGCCCTAAACCCCAATCTAACCCTAACCATAAACCCTAACTTTAACCAACCCAAAACCCTAAACTAACCCAAAACCCTAACCTTAGCCCTAACCCTAAACACTAATCTAACCCTAACCTTAACCTAACCCTTAACCCTAATTTTAACCCCAAACTCTAACCCTATGGACGAGTTTCTATACTAAATGCATTATGGATTCAGAACTTCTGAGCCTTAATCAAACCTCAACAAGTTTTTAAATCATGTCAAAGAATATCCACTGTAATTCATTACTTTCTTGGAATATATTTTTACTTTATACTGTCTTCTGATTGGCTAATAATTGAAATTGCTCAAACGCTTATCATTGGCTCGTCCCTAAATTAGAGTTTCGCCGTCCCATCTGTTTTAACCTCTCATTATTCACCTCCTCTCTAAAATCCGCTGTGAACCGACCGTATGTTAGCATCGCGTGTTGAACTTGGCTCCGTGACCTTGAAATTGCTCAGACGCTTCTGATTGATTCGTCCCTAAATTAGAGTCTCGCCGACTTGAACATCACTACTGGTCCTGATATAGCTTTTACAATGAAAATTCAATTAGATAATCGAGGTCGTTAATTCCCACATATGATGCCAATGTCGACTTACGTAATTTGCAGTCAGTCTTCGAAGGGTGCTACCGATGAAATACTGTTATTGTAATATATTTGCCGGCATTTAGTAGTTGAACTTAAATATCATGAATTTTCTTTGACTACCGAAATTGATCACAAATCACTGTATTTCCTGTGTTAATAGGGGTCTCTTTTTGGGGACTTGACTATTTGGTCGTAAAATTATCTCAGTGGCACACTAATAATAGTCTGGGTTTGCTACTGTCTAAATGGCTTATTGTGACCATGGCGTCTCCTGAAGCCCACTTTGCCGTGTTTTTGACGGTGAGTGATATCGGGCAAGTAATGCTGTGACCTTATTAAGCACACTGATCCCTAATTTATTGATAATCAATTCTATACCTTGTATTTGTGATGTGAGTGATACTCTTTTTTTCATTTTATAGGTACATTGATAGTATTCAATGCGATACCTTTGATATTTTTTCGGGTTGGCAGCTCAACTGATGAGACAGCCCACGATAAGTTCCTTACACGAAATTCTGAGTAGTATTATTTAATCCGCATCGGAAACGATTTACAATGTATACACCTTAGGTTGCCTAGGACAGCCGCTACAATGTACATGCACTGCGACAAACATGTTGAGCCTTTGGGGTGTATCTGTGAAATCGTTCTTTTCCAGTACGACGGGAAGTAATGTTGCTGCGACACTTGAAAATGGAAGTGATACACGTGATTTTCCACACCCCATAACTTTTCCCGACCGTTGCTGCTATCTTGACGTGGTAGTCGTACTTGTCTATCGCAATGAACCAATCGAGCTATACTGGGTGGAACGAGCATTCCTCAAGATCATACTGTGCCAGACAGGTCGGTAGGAGGGCGGCAAGACTAAAACCAGCAGCCCCAAAGCCCGATGGCAAAGTTGTACTGCTGACTGTGCAAAGGTGTGACGGCATTAAGGGGTTTCCTTCAGGTAACCAGCATAACAGCAATGCTGCCTACCGACAAGGAGGGGTGGGGTTGGAAAAGACCGACCCTAAAAATACAAACCTGTGGTGTTTGAATGGACTAATGATACTTTTGTACTGGTTGAATGTTTGATTTCGAATTCTAAATACAGTACATTCGTTGTGCCTGTGTCTTCTTAATTCAATTGCGTTAATCCTGGGATTCCTAATTCATACTATAATTAGAATACTATATTGGCGTCGTGATGGAACCTGCAATGGAAAAGTTGGATATTCATTCAACTCCTGAAGCTTTTGAGGATTATTTGGAAAGGTTCGAAATTTGGAGCATGACCAAAGAAGATGATGAGGATGTTAATATTGTGGCACACTTCCTCACATTCATTGGGAGAGAAGCGTACAGCTTATTAAAAACTTTGGCATATCCAGAAAAACCTATCTCACTCTCTTATGCAACTCTTAAAGAGCTATTATTAAGTCATGTAAAATGCACCAGTTTTGAATGCCGTGAAAGGGCGAAGTTTCGTAAGATGATTCGTCAAAATGACCAAAAGGCTCGGGAATTCATCCTTGAATTACAGAAACAAGCTGCCAAGTGTAATTTCGGTGATCAACTTCATGTGCAACTGAGAGATCGATTAATTGCAGGAATTAACATGCCGAGTTTGGAAAGAGAACTGTTAAAAATGCCAAACTGTTTCTTTCAAGATGCTAGGACTGCGTGTATTAACTACGAAGTAGTGAATGAACTTGATATCCAGTCGATGAAGAGTTCTGATACTTTGCTTAGTCGTCATGATGAACTACAATCTCAGGGTCAATCAAATTTGCGTTCATTTAACAGTGATTCCTATTCT